ACACACACACACACACTTATATGAGCCCAAGTTTGACTTGAACGCATTGCAGGAATGCATGAAGTGGGGGAAAGTTAGGAGACTTGTTGTGTTGTGTGTTGCTGTTTTGGGCGTAACAGGAACACAAAGTACCACAATTTGCAGAATATTATATCCTGAAAGACAAAAAACTAAACATCTGTACAGTTAATATACAGTTTAAGGTCTTTTTGCAAGCAGTATTTGAAGAATGGCACCTTATATTGTCTGGAATATTTCATATTTAAGGTGTAATTTGTACTCTGTCTGAAGATACTTTGGCTGTAGTGTGGTTTAACACATTTTACGAGGATTACGTGCACCGTCGGATTTATCGTGGAATTCTGAGTGACTGCTGGTGGTGCTTTGTCTTACATAGTTACACATCATGTTATGTAATTTGTAAACTTTGTGGTGCGTTGGTTTACCTCGACTGTGCTACTGTAGTACCAGCTAGTATACATGAATATACTCGTGACTTTCTGAGGTGGTTTCAGATACTTGTAGGTCATTTTCTGGTGGTTGTTGGGACACTGATTGTTGTAGTTAATTACACAGATTATACATTAGAGCTGCAGCCAACCACCATGTACACTATTGGTTAATTACTTCTAGATTAATTGATCACTTTGTCTATAAAATGAGTGAAAAATGTTTGTTATAACGTCCCGTGGTTCAGCGTGACATATGACAAAGAAAAACAGACCTTGTAGTTTAGGTACTTTTATATTATCTATAATACTTTTTTGAGACGGTTTGTCTTTGACTTTTGTGTACATACAAAACATAAATGATTCTGCAACATAAATCTAATTGTGTGGCAGTAGTTTTAATGACTGTTTACATGTAAATATTTAATCTGTCTGAACATTGTATTCTCTGTAGTTCGTTCATGCACACCAGTTGCAGATTGCAGAATTTATTTTGAGTCTCGTGGATTTAGTCGTCCCCAGTGACACATTTAAAGTGTTTTAAATCCGACGTTTTCTTGACTTATGATTATTTTTGCAGACTTTGCAGAGTTTATGGTATTGATCAGCTCAACCAGCACTGCAGTAATGCATTAATGTAAAAGGTGAACTATGTGCTGATGCAGGCATATTTATGTCTGCTCCTCCCCGAAAGATTTTTATTATATAAAAGGTTCTGTCTGTATTCGAGTACTTGAGTAATCCCACTATCTGTTACTGGATACGACATTTTGGATGGAAATATTGTAGTTTTTACTCATTACATTTGTCTGATAACTTTCATATTACAGAATATATTCAACACATACATTGTAATGTATTATTATAGGTTAGATAAGATAAACTGATTTATACCTGAGGGGAACTTCACAAGCTACTCAGCACTAGCACTGTCAGGATAACCACTTTTACTGGACGATATATTGTCCCATAAATAATACCAATAAACAATATTGCTGTCATTTAAGACCATTTCATGCCACAGATGATAATATAATGACATAATGATGCAATGTATGAGGTCATATTTAACCACATATCTGTAGGGAAGATGAAAAGGAGACATGTTACCTTCAGAATTCAATCGTTCACTGCTGCACAAGGTTGGAAATGCAAATAAATATTTCATTTATCATTTTTCCAGAGAAAAATAAAGAGGCAGAACAATACTCGCCTTATCCCACCTCTCCCTTTACATATAAGGAGAAAAAAATAAGAAAAACAACTGGTGGACATCAGTGTTCCTCTGGTTATACAATCCCATTATGTTTTTGCATACTATACAACAAACAAATATTAAACTGAAGATATAAGTGACTGAGGTGTCATGTGGGTCCCCTCACTGCTGTGATATAGTTGAGGAAGGGATGCCATATCTGTGGCTTCTCCTAGCAACTCCTATCAGGTTTACTCCTCTCAGGTCTATAAAGAGAAGTAAAGTACTAGAGTCAGACAGGTTTCAGAACAGGGTCTTTGTTCCAGACCTTAACAATGATTTTCTTTGCATATTGGATCGCCAGAGTTTTCCAAACAGTTGGCAGTTTGTAAAGAAGACAGAAGCAGCTGCACTCAAGTTGTATATATATATAATAGTTGGGAAAACCTACATTCAATCAAGCATGTAAACACAACAGGAGAAGTCAGATAGTTAGCCAGCATTTTTAACTTTAAAGTGATGTAAACATTAATACATCAATCATTATAATACAGTAATACAATATAAATTATTATGAAATGGGAATTTCTGCATGACATTTACTTAAGATTTTGAATGCAAGGACTTCTGCTTCTTCCTCCACTAAATGTAATAAACTAATAAATGAAAATCAGCATCAGTTTAGTCTGATGAAGCTCCTGTAATGAGCTGCTGACTGATTTCCTTTGTTGGCTGCAGGAGCTCCGGATCCGACGGCGGGCGCCAGCGTGGACGACGAGAACTGCTGGCATCTGGACGAGGAGCAAGTTCAGGAACAGGTCAAGCTCTTTCTCTCCCAGGGCGGGTACCATGGCTCGGGAAAGCAGCTCAACTTACTGTTCAGCAAGGTAACAGAATCACTTCCAGCAAACGCCAATCAATGTCGCGCCGCGGCTGGCGGGCTGTACGGCAAGGTTTACCCACAATGCCACCTGGTTCTCTGCAGGTGAGAGAGATGCTGAAGATGAGGGACTCCAACGGCGCTCGCATGTTAACGCTGATCACAGAGCAGTTCATGGGCGACCCCAGACTGGCGCTGTGGAGGCAACAGGGAACCACCATGACTGACAAGTACAGGCAGCTGTGGGATGAACTAGGTACTGCACACACACACACACATCCATGCCATGAAATGTTCTGTCCCCAGACGATGAATCCTTAAATGATCAGGTCAAAGCATTAAATCCAAATGCGTTAAGTTTATTACATTTGTAGTTTTAAATGAAATAATTCAACAAATATTGAATTTGTGGACCAGAGAGATCAATATATCGACATCGGTAATTACTAGGGATTCCCGATCAGGTTTTTTTAGCCCCCTGTTCCGATCAGAGTCATTTAATAGCTGCTGATCCCGAGTCATGATACGATAGTTGTAAGTACATTAACGTTATTAAAATCAATCCATTGTATGTTTGAGAGTTGAATATCTCTGCATTGCATTAAGATAAAAGCTGTTCCTCAATGTTTTTATTAAATAACAAACCCTCTTTAATTTCTTTGGCCCGTTGCTGTCTGGAGGGAGTTTCTCTCTCTGCTGACTGTTTATTTCTACATCTTTTACGCGGTTTACATTAATTAATTACTCTTATTGGCTTTTTGTTCGCGAGGCTTTTGTTTCAGTGGCGTGTTGAGTGCGGTTGTGTCAGATCTCTGCTGCAACTGTGTCTACCATGGAAACTGTAACAGGCAATTTTTTTACTATTTTATAAACCTGGTTGATTAAATCCAACTATTTTGACAATTTTCAAGCAAAAATTTCCAAAATTTTTTATGGTTCCAGCTTTTAAAATGTGAGAATTTGATGCTTTTCCAGAATATATTGGGGTTTTGGACTGTTGGACACACAAAATAACGACATTGTGATAGATGTTTGGTTGATAAACTATCAGAAAAAAGTGAGAAACGATTAATCAATAATGGAAATACTCATTAGTTGCACTAATCAGCACTGGACTTTACATTATTCATCTCTACTTTACATATATTTTAAGGAGCTGAAAGTGAAGATAAGTAACTATTTTTGTGGTTTGTATTTCTGCCACAGAAATAGTTATAATATTTATAATATTTTAACACTAGTTTTACCTCCATTGATTTCAGTGTTTCTTTATTTTATAGACTGTTACAGAGCTAATAAAGGAAATAAACCGGCGGATTAAACAATGACACTTCCTTCTCAGGAACAGAGACCCCAGATCTTATAAATAAATACCTATAAAAACACACGTGTTCAGCTTCCTGGTGTTTCACAGATACGATGGCGGCTGAAGAACTAAACTTATTCGCTTGTAACCGAACCGAAATGTGAATAAAACCAGCCTGTAGGGAACATTTCTCCTCTTTCCCACCTTCTTCCTCCTCTGTTTTTGTTTTTCTTTACCCAGAATCCCCACCACCACCTCCCCCGCTGCCCCCTCTGCTGCCGCTGTAGATTCTTGCTCTGCATTTCGTCACTCATGTCTGACATCACTCTTCTGGGCGCTCTGTTTTCCCTCCTCAGTGTTGTCCTTGAAGCAGCCCTAACAAAGAGACGGAGGATAAAGCCTCTCTCCTCCTGTCCCCTCCCCCATCCTCAGCTTCCCTCCCCCACTTCCCTTCCCTTCCCTCACCTCTCCTCCCCGTCTTCACCCCTTTTTTTTCACTTCACTTCCTTTCTTTTCTCCTCCTGTTTCATTTTGTCATCTGTCATCCTTTATTTATCCCTCAACCTATTCGTTGTTCCCCCTCTTTCTCTCTCTTTATGTGCCTCCCTGTCCTAATCTGCGTCCACAGTCTTTCACAGTTCGCGGCCGACAATGCAGCCGATCTCAGACCACTTCTGCACACTTTCTTCAAGGAGCTGCAACAATTATTCGCTCGGCCGATCGTCAGAAAATTAATCAGCAACTATTATAAGCAAAAATGTCAGTTATTATCTGGTTGCAGCTTCTTCCTGTGTGATTTCCTGCATGTCTTTGTTGTATATCGGCGTAAACTTAATATTTTCAGGGTTTTTTACTGTTACTCGGACAAAATAAGACATTTGAAGTCGTCACTTTGGACTTTAGTAAAAGAATAATCTTGTAAATTTATACTTTTTAACTATTTTCTGACATTTTATAGACAAAAAACAAATTAGTCTATGGAAGAAAACTGTGCAGCCATACCTCCTTATGTGCGTGCTGACGTAACTATGATATAATGAAACAATTTGTTAATTAAAAATGCCTTTTTTGGGGTTTTTATAACATGTTTTGCATTATTGAGTCAGTTGTTGGCATTGATACTTAAGTAATTTTACTAGTAACTGGTTTTCCATCTCCAAAGTAATATATATTTCATTTTTATTCAGCCCAAATCATTAAAGTACTTTTGTTTTTTGATTTTTCTCCGTTTCTTTCCTGTGAATCAACAGAAAAAACGAAATTAGAAAACAATTAGTTGATTAAATCAAACAATTTTGTAAATTTTCAAGCAAAAATGCCAAAATATTTTATGGTTCCAGCTTCTCAAATGTGAGAATTTGGTGCTTTTCTTTGTTTAATGTGAGAGCAAAATCGAAAATCAATTTAGGTTTTGGACTGTTAAGCAAAAAAATAAGCAAACTGCGATAAACATTTGTCACTTTTTTTCATAGTTTATTGAACAAAAGATTGATAATGAAAATAATCGTTAGTTGCACCATTTAGCACGAGATAATTAAACTTTACATTTATTTGAAGGAGTGAAAGTGAAGCTAAGCAACTATTTTTGTGATTTTTCGCCACAGAAATAGCAATAATATTTTTTACAATAATCATTACCTTGAGTGTTCTGCTGCAGGCTACGAGTGTGTGTGTGAGTGTGTTTATATCTCTTATGTAAATGTGTGTGTGTCTCTGCAGGCGCCCTGTGGATGTGCATCGTGCTGAACCCCCACTATAAGCCCGAGCAGAAGGGTTTCTGGCTTCGACAGCTTCGCAGGTGGAACAGCGTGGACGTCTGCCCCTTGGAGGACGGTAACCATGGCAGCGAGCTGACCAATCTGACCAACGCTCTGCCCCAGGGCCCTCCTGGAAACCCAGGTGAGATGGCGCCCGGTGAAGAAGAGACGTCGCCTCCCCCACCCCTTTTGTTTTTTTCTAAATTCCCAAATCCTCTCCTACATCACATCTATTCTCATCAGGTTTCTTTCTCTTCTCTTCTCTTCTCCTTCTCCTCCTCCTCCTCCTCCTCCTCCTCCGTTCTGCTGCTGTATTAACGCTGTTAAGTCTTCTTTCTACACCCTCCCCCCTCTCTTTTAATCAACTCTCCTTCCTTCAATCTCTGTGCCTGCAAGCCTTATTACCTTTTTAGTGAGGCTAATAGAATGAGCCTAATAACACAGTTGAGGTCCTGCAGCTTTTTCCACTAAATCAAAGAAAACTTGAACACATGAACATTTCTATCAGGTGCTAATAAAACTGTTTCGAATCAGAAGACAGGCGCCGTTATTACTGTTGCTGTTGTGTCCGTAATGGCCCTGCATTTGTTGTGCTATTGATATTTTTAAATCGCGCTACGACGGCGGTTTTCAAAGTCGGACAGCGTAAAGACAGACACAACTGCTTCTATGATTCTAAGGCAAGTTCTGGAGTTATAAAGTCTTTTTTCTGTGACTTCTAAGACGATTTATGGACGTTTTATTTGTGGCGGACATTGAAGACGATGATATCTTTGGAAAGTGTAAGACACGCTAAATCTAAAAATATGTGTATTGTGTCTGTGTGTTCACGTTTGACCGAGTTATGACTCTGAGAAGGAATTTTGGTCCATTCTTTACTGTTTTTTTTACAGTACTGTAACATAACAGCCTTTTGTCACAGTTGCTGCTGCTGGAGCTGGATCAGTGGGCCGTACCACAATAATTAACTTCCCCATCATGCACCTGTGTCTTTCACCTCATGCTGTATCTTTGCCTCATGTCTCTCCTTCCGCATCCTCCCCTCGTCACAGTGGTTCAATGTGGGCTTTAAAACACCTGACATCTTGCATTCGTCTCTGGCAGATTCACTGACGCGGCCTCACCGGACGGTGTTCACGCGGGCGATCGAGGCCTGCGACCTGCACTGGCAGGACCCCCACCTGCAGCACATCATCACCGAGGACCACTACACCAACTACTGTTACCATGACAACCTCGACAGCTCCCTCTTCGACGCCCGAGGGTGGCCCCTGTGGCACGGTGAGAGAGCAGGGACACGGGGGTTTAGAGGGAGGACGGATTTTAATTAAGAAGAAGAAGAAGACGAAGAAAAAAAGTGGAAGGCAAACGTTAAAATATCTTTTGTTCTTCCCGTCTCTTCTCCTGCAGAACACGTGCCGACGGCGTGCGCCAGGGTGGACGCGCTGAGATCACACGGTTACCCCAAGGAAGCACTCAGACTGGCCATCGCTATAGTCAACACACTGCGGAGGCAACAGCAGAAACAGCTGGAGTTCTTCCGAGCTCACAAAAAAGGTCAGTTTATGCTCCTTCAGGCTTTTGTTCAGTGTAGTTTTTTTGCATTAAAATTATGCTTTTTACTTCCCCATGTTCTAAAGTTAAGTATTTGGGCTCCTAAAACATTTTAAGCTCTTTTAAGAAGAAGAACATGAATCAGGTTGGCATCATTTTGTATATTTTATGTATCTATGCCCCTAAATTGGATACACTATTGAAAACTGCATAGAAATAACTCAAAACATTTAATATTGGGCCATAAACTTAAAATACCTTTTGTCAGATTCAGAAAATAAAGTTAAAATTTACAGTTAGAGCTTAAAATAACAGTTTTCTTAAGTACCTCTTAAGATTTTTTGGGGGGGGGGAATCAACAAAAATGAGATAAAATAGTAAATCAAAATGTGCTAAGAGCTTAAAAACAGTATTGAAAGACATTTGGAGAATACAGACTTTGATAACACCTTCATTAACTGTTTTATAGGAGAAGTTATATATGATATACAAGTTGATATAATTGGGTAGTTTGAGTCAGAACCATCAGAGCTGTAGTTTATATATACTGTCATTGACCTGTAGTTGTCAGTGCTGCAGCTACAGTAACAGAAATCTCATTAAATCAGACCTGAAGTGTCAATTTGAGCAAAAAACTTCAATTAATTAATTATCTTTTAATTGGTTAATTCATCCATCAATTTTCTGCCTGTTATCTGGGTCCAGGTCAGTTTAACAGATTAATTATAGTCCTTCGAATCATTGTTGTATACAGCTGGGAACTACTGACAAAAATGGGATCTAAATGTCAATAAATGTATTAATGAATAATTGTAGGTCCCTGCTGGCTCTTTGACCAATAAGACCGTAAAACAAGAATTAAACATCATTCTGTGTGATATTAAACGCCTCGTCTGTATGTGTGTGTGACTGTAGAGCTGCTCCATAAAGGCATCACGTCAGTCACCAACCTGGAGGGTTGGGTGGGCCACCCTCTGGACCCCATCGGCACACTGTTCAGCACCCTCATGGAGACGGGGCGGGGCAGCGAGGACGGCGCCACGGCCCTGCTCGACTTCTCAGGTACTGATACACACATACTTAAGTAAAAAGTACCAGTACAGCGATGTAATAGTACTCTATTACTAGTAAAAGCAGCTACGTTGACTGATATACAGTATTATTGGATGTGACATTATTAGATGAATGCTGCACTAGCACTGGCAGTATTTTATATACAGTTAGCTAGTTTAGTCCAGTGGTTCCCAACATAGGGGTCGGGCCTCCCCAAAAGCTTATTATCTATTAATAAAATCTGACTTTTCTCTAATCTTTTTGCTATTTGTGTAAAATATCAGATAATTCCACCTTTTTGGCCCTTAAGTGGGTTTTTAAATGAAACTTTCTCCCTTTGATGAAACTGAAACAAATCATCTCAAACGTCACGAAAGACCCCAACTACACACTGCTTAATTATTTATTTATTTACTTAGTTACTTACTTATTTACCAGGGACAATGAACATTAAGTTAGCTAAGAGTTGGCTAACAAGCTAATTTTCATCTGTAGTCCCTTTGTAAGGGGCCAAAAAAGTTGGGAACCTGTTTAATCTTCAACAATGTTTTTTATTTTACGAGTTATCTTATGTTTTTAATGTAAAGTCTAAAGAATAACAAGTAACTATAGCTCTAAAACACTGCAGCAGAGTGAAAAGTGCAATATTTCCCCTCTGACATGTAGCGGAGTAGAAGTATAAAGTAGCAGAAAATGAGAATACTCAGGTGAAAGCCCTCAAATTAGCACTTAAGTACAGTACTTGAGTAAACAGCAGACAAACACACACATTTTCCTGAGTGTGTGTGTGTGTGTGTGTGTGTGTGATTCAAACATTTACACTGCAGTGATTGCGTCTTCCTGTCAGAGCTGCGGGCCCTCGGGTTGCAATCAGCAGTGATGACACAGACGTGCTGATTGGCCTCCAGTCATCCTCCAATAACAGCTCATGAATAAGAAATGCGGCAGGAAAAACACTCCAATTAAAACACATTAATTATGCATTGAGCTCAGCTAGACGAATTTCAGAGAGAAAGGACGGCCGCGTCTCGTCTGGGTTACCGTTTGTTTCTCTTCAAAATGATGAATCCTCTGCGTGGAAAAAGTTGTGAAAGTTTTCAATTAAGACTTTGAGCACTATATATATTGTGGCTGTGGTGTTGTGTGTGTTGTGTGTGTTGCTGCTGTGTGTGTGTGTTTGTGTGTGTATTCATTAGGGACTGTTAACCCTACTGGGATGAACTGTGAGGTCTGCCAAGACATCATTAAGCCATTAAAACACATGATTACAATCCTCAAGAGAATACACACTGAAAAAGAACACCAGAACGAACAAATAGATCAATAGATTTATCAATACTCAGGTTCAATCCATGGCCCAAAGGGAACATTTTCCTCCCTAAGTCATCCCTCACCCTCCCTCTCCCTCTCTCTCTCTCTCTCTCTCTCTACGTCACCCTCAGGCTCGCTGGGTGCAGGTAGGAGGACGGAGCATCCTGTTTTCCCGGCGCAGCGTTTCCTGGAGGAAGGAGAGACGTTCGTGTCGCTGGCTGTGGAGACGGCGTTGATTGGTTTAGGGCAGCAGAGGGTGATGCCAGACGGCCTTTACGCCCAGGAGAAAGTGTGTCGCAACGAAGAGCAGCTATTGGCCAGGCTTCAGGAAGTCGATTTGGACGACACGTTGGTGAAGATCTTCCGGAAACAAGCTGCCATCCTGCTAGAGGGTGAGTGAGACTCCAAACATTTGCTGGTTCCAGACTCTCAAATACGAGGATTTGCTGCTTTTTTCTTTGCAGCTTCACAATTTCACATTTTAAACACGTACTGTACGCAAAGGAACCAGCAGAAAAGGAAGAAGAGAGACATACAGGTCATACCATCCAGAACAGCTTCTAGTCAAAGATCAGCAGCATGTTTCCTTCAGTGCAGTTTGTAAAAGACCTTTAAAGGTGTTCAAAAGTGATATTTTGCAGCTAATTTGCAGCATAAATGATGATAATGATATTGATTTGAACATCTTTGGGTTTTGAGGTGAAAAAATAAGAAATCTGAAGACTTCACCTATGAATGGTGAGGGTGAATTTTCACTATTTTGTACTTTTTACAAACAAAACTATGAGTTGATACTGAAAATAATAATTAATGGCCGTCCAAAAACTTAAATCAAATTCTCAACATCACAACATTTGTACACCGAGACTGAGACTATAGCAACGCTCAGCAGCTCTGCAGGGCTGTACTCTTACGCTAAATGCTGATGTCATAATGCTAACATGCTGCTCTTTAGCAGCTCTAATGTTTACCACATTTCCTTTCTTAGATTAGTTGTACCAGGTGATATTTCTTAATGGTGACACTAGAGGAAAGAAAATAAACATAGAGAAACAGCTAGTTGAGTTTAGGTAATCTGCCATAGATTTAACTTTAAATGAGATATAACGAAAAATAAGTGTTTTATAATTAATGTTTGTAGCTACAATCCCTCAGTGAGCTTTAGAGGTGCTGCTAGAGAGCCAGGCTAGCTGTTTCCCCCCGTTTCCAGTCTTTATGCTAAGCTAAGCTTTAATTGTTTCCATCCCTGACACCTCGCCCCCTCACTGAACCCATGAGCAACACATTGTCCACACACAGGAAGAGTCAAGTTTTCACACCCTGAACCACAACCTGCTCTTTGTGCTTTAATTATCTGGTTAGTGTGTGTGTGTTGATTACTGTGTACGGTTCGTTTTATACATTTTACATCGAGTGTATTGTTTGCATTGTCGGCCCGGTTTGCTGACGTGGTGGTGAGAATGTGTGGTGGTGTTGTGTGGTGTGGCTGTGTGTGTGTGTGTGTGTGTGGAAGATGTGGCTCAGCATGGTTCAAGGCCCTTTTCACATCAAACCCACTAATGATAGAGCTGCTTCCTCTCACATATGGCTTCTGCTACCTCTGGTTGTGATTATAAAGTGGAGGAAGTCATTGTTTTTATCTCTATCAAGGCAACATTTGTATCTTTTGTTCTCTTTTTAAAAGGACAAGTCTGGTTTCTTATTTTATCAACAAATCCCACGAAAAGACCGTATTTATCCTTTTTTAAGCCTCTGATGTTTGATTATAGGCCAAATTTTACAACTTTGTAATGACAAGCAACATTTGTGAGGACAAAATATACTTTCTAATGCATCAAAAAGTCAATTTACTGACTTTAAAGTCCAGGTGGAATGAAAAATGTCAGTTTAACCTTTTAAGATTGCATCCTCAGTTATATTGTACCCATTTTTAACGATATATGACAACAAAAAACATGTTTGTAATTTTATATTAAAATCCAATCATTTTGTCTTCGTTTTGTAAGCAAACAGCACAGCTAGCTACCGGAGCTCAGTGATTACTGTACAAACACACAACTTTATATCAGTGATTGTGGGTGAAACTGGATCATATTTTATGGAGAAAACATTGTCTGGTTTTCCCTCTGATGTAGCTGCCCTTAGCTAACTGCTAATGTAGCTTCCATTAGCATGCAATTGAACGTTTCTAAGAAGTACAGGAATTAATTTAGCCTATTTTGTGCTGCAGAGTGAATTAAAAAAGTAATTAGAGGACAGAAAAAAGGTAGAAAAAGTCTAAAGCTTTATCCTTCAAAAGTCTGATATCTTTTGAGATCAGATAACTGTGCTTTCCTTTAATTGAATTATTATCTAAAAGAAAGGGAATAAAACTAGTGTAATTCACTCCTTTCACACACTACACTTTTGGAAGTGACTAAAACCGCTTTTCCATTGTCATCTGTGATTCCTGTAACTGGCGCTACCTCTGAGTTCTCACATGTTTCAGGATGTTCTCTTAAGCTCTTTCCCAGCGTCTCTGTACATTTTTTTTCTGTGGCTGACTAACAAAGCGATCGTCATTCTGATACTCGGCTGAGTCACGCAGTTCCAGATCAGTCTGTGCATTCAATCAGAGTTCTCAGGCTCAGGAAATAATCTCACACACAAGGTCACGCTGTCCAGTCATATGTGAAGTATCATTCAGCTGCACTGCACGCCGTGTTTTTACAATCATCTTTTCTCTCTTTCTTCCAGCTGGTCCTTACAGTGGTCTGGGGGAGTTGCTCTACAGAGAAAGCGTCCCCATGCACACTTTTGCCAAGTATCTCTTCACCTCCCTGCTACCTCATGACGCCGAACTGGCGTACAAAATTGCACTGAGGGCCATGCGGTGAGTTGAAACCCCCGCCCTCCGACCTTGTGTAAAGCTTGTTGTCTAACCGTGAAGAACTCTTTCAGACGTTGGACCTTGCACTGTGGTGCCTCCCAGAAACATCATGGCATTGGCAGAAAGCCAGACACAGAAACAGCATAGATAATCTGGTGGATTTTCAAAATAAAATGCAGACGCAGGATCGAATTTTCACACTAGATCGCCAGATTGTGGCATCAGAACAGAAGTATGTCAGTCAGAGGCAGCTTAGAGGAGATTTGAAGCAGATAAACACTCAGTTTCTTTTTTTAAAGGATAAAATACTAAAAAAAGAACTTATGATATGGAAAAAAGGCTCTGAAGATGCTCTGCTTCACAGCTTCACCCCTTAAAACCAAGAATGCCCTCATGAAACGTTTGGCATCCCCTAGTCCAGGTCCCGACCCCCCAGGTTGATGAGAGGAGGATCAGAAGCAAATAGAGGACGAGTTACTGTTATGTACTCGACTAACTGGCTCCTCAGTCTCATTTTCAGTTTGTGTGTGATGGATTCAGAGAGGCAGATTTAGGAGCTATCTGGGGCGCCGTTTAATGACAAAACCTCCTTTTGCTGGAATATTCACTAAATAATTCAACGCCGTTTTATAAAATGTGTGAATAATAAATACAGGCTGTTGGTTTCCTCCCTGACCGCCACGGGTGTTACGAAACTTTATTTCCTCTCGCCCAAAATTAAACCCCTTTGATTTTTTTTTTTTTACGATATGTAAATCTTTATATATTTTAATCCCGGACTTGAATTACAAAGCAGGAATATTAAGACTACAGAGACGCAGCATCGCAGCAGCTGTAACAGGACAGAACAGGAGAGCTGTTATTTTTAAACTCAGCCGGAGGCAAAGATCCACCTGAGTTTAGCTGTGGAGGAAAACTATTGATTGATGCTATAAAAGGAACATTGATAACTTCTTTATCTTTTATGAAATGTTCTTGAGAGTGGAAAGATCAGTTCCTGTGTTTTTATGTGCAATAAAGAACTAATAATAAGGTTTTTTGTGCGTCGGTTCTCAGGTTGCCGGTCCTGGAGTCCACGGCCCCCTCCGGTGACTTGTCTCGGCCTCACCATATAGTGTCAGTGGTGCCCAACCGCCTCCCTCGCTGGTTCACTCTCAGCCACATAGAGACCCAACAGGTGGAACTTGGCTCCACCCATGTTCACTTGCCTGCTTAATAGGTACCACACCACACACACACACACGACACACACACACACACACCACACACACACACACACACACACACTCATTCATGTTTCAACCATTTATACACCTTGTTTTTCAACTATTTACCCACAACTCTTGGCTATTTCACCTATATATTCATTTTAGATTAACTTTTTTGCCAGTTTATCTATTAATATGAGCTGTTTCTATCGTATATGCACAGTGTTGGGCTGCTTTCTGCTATTCCCCCAAAATGTGTGTCCTTTCTCCCCAAATTCAGACTTTGTGACGATTAAAATCCAGTTTT